TTTTGTTTTTTTGAGATAGGTTTTCTCTGTAGCTTTGGACACTATCCTGGAACTAGCTAGCCTGCCTCTGTCTCCTGAGTGCTGGGATTAAAGGTATGTGCCACCACTGCCCGGCAAAACATTTAGTTTTATGGGTGAGGTGGAGGGCTCTGGTAGTGGGCTTACCAGATCAGGATGCATGCTTATTTTTTGTTTGTAAGTTGAGTTGGGGAAGCACAATGATGTGATTGACTGAGAGACTGTGATACACTATTTTTCACCCAGGTGGCAGTCCCATAAGATGGATCTGTTCACTCTGGGGAAGGGCTTAGAAAAGATAATGAACCTTCAAATTAATACAGGTAGAAAGAGCATGTAATATAAAAGCTCTTGAGCTGTTTAACCTTACAGACATCTACTTTTCACTAGCTTGAGATATGCTATTTGGATCCTTCCTGATTTTAAAAATTCTAGATAGAGGGGGCTGGAGAGATGGCTCAGAGGTTAAGAGCACTGGCTGCTCTTCCAGAGGTCCTGAGTTCAATTCCCAGCAACCACACGGTGGCTCACAACCATCTGTATTGAGATCTGGCACCCTGCTCTGGCATGCGGGCATACATCGAGGCAGAATGTTGTATACATAATAAATCTTTAAAAAAAAATTCTAGATAGAAATTTTTCTTGTTGCTGAGTGGTGGTGGCGCATGCCTTTAATCCAAGTACTTGGGAGGCAGAGACAGGTGGATCTCTGAGTTTGAGACCAATCTGGTTTACAGAGTCAGTTCCAGAACAGCCAGAGCGACACAGAAACTCTGTTTTAAAAAACCAAAAAAGAACTTTATCTTGTTGCTTATTTTTTTTTTCTTTTGGAATAGGGTCTCGCGTGGCACAGACTGGTCTTGAACTTGCTAGTCTGTGTCCAAGTCCGGCCTGAAATTAATTATACACTTCCTGAATGCATGCTGGGATTACAGGCCTATAACACTGCCCCTGGCTGATTTGTCTTTGTTTTTTGGTCTGGGGAAATGGTGTAGCACATGCCAGATTTGATTCCCCAGCACTGTGACATACTTGTAATTCCAGCACTTGGGAAGTGAGGTCCTATCTCAAAAAGTAAGAAAAGAGGGGAGGTGCAATGACATTTTCAAACTAGAAGAACTCAGTAATACTTAGAACCTAAACTTTTAAGTCACAGAGTCCAAATTTCAAAAAGCTGCAACAGAGTGACTCAGTTTAGCCATAGGAAATGTTCGTATGGTGAGTGCTTTCTTCAGATGCTGATGTTTTTGCTAAATGTGGGGTGTTCTTCCTGGGTGAATCTTCCACTTCTGGGGGAGATGGTGCCTAGAGTGGAGAGAAGAGGGCTAGAACCAGGTTTAAAAGAGAAGTCTTCCTTCTCCACCATCCTTTCAGGGCAAGAATACTCGTAGTGACCAGCTTGGTCAGATTTGAAATTTTTAATTTTTCTTGATGTTTAGCAAGACATTGTTAGAGATTCTAGCTGTGCACTTGGGCTAGGGCTGTAACATGGGAGCCTTACGTGTTTGCAGTCAATGAGGTAGTGTCAGGAGGAGTTTTCTAAGGAATGCTAGTCCAGCTGCCCTCCTTGCTGCAAGGTTTCCTTCCAGGCAGCATCTTCAAGGACTAAGTTTTAGAGGATCTGCTTCCTCATCAGGGATTATCACCAGCTCTAGGATTCTAGGTGCCTCCTGGGCGCTGCTGTCCTTTGTGTTGTTGAGATCCATAGGGTGAGTAGGGGCAGCCTCGGACACTGACCTATTAGCAGTTGCCTGAGCTCAGTTCCCCACACCCAGTGTTTAAGTCCTTCGTAAATCATTTCTAGTTCAGCTTGGCATCTATGGAAATGAAACGAACCAAGTTCTACAGATAGTATCACCCCTGGTTATTTTTCCTAGGAACACAGACAGACCTATGGGAACACTCGGGAGCCTCTCTTGGAAAATCTGACAAGCGAATATGACTTAGATCTTTTCCGAAGAGCACAAGCCCGGGCTTCTGAGGATTTGGTGAGTATCAAGAACCCCAAAGTGAGGGGAGGACCCTTATGCAAAGCCCTTAGAACTGCCAAGAAAGGTGATTAGCAACCAGTCTGATGGGAGTTGGGTATTCCACTGCTTCATCTCTGCCCATCACAGCCTGTCATTAGAGATAGTCTTCCCATTTCCATGGAAAACACATCACCTTTTTCTTTTCCCGTTTTCTTAATTTTTTTCTCTTATCTCCCTCAACTGGAAGATTCAATTTGGCTTGAGGTAGTAAGGCTAGTTAAAACTCTGGGTGCTCCGAGCAAGGAACTCAGGACCGCGAGGGGTGCACCCACACACTGAGACAATGGGGATGTTCTATCGGGAACTCACCCAGGCCAGCTGGCCTGGGTCTGAAAAAGCTTGGGTTAAAACCGGTCTCGCTGAACATAGCTGACAATGAGGACTACTGAGACCTCAAGAACTATGGCATTGGGTTTTTGATCCTACTGCACGTATTGGCTTTGTGGGAACCTAGGCAGTTTGGATGCTCACCTTACTAGACCTGGATGGAGGTGGGTGGTCCTTGGACTTCCCACAGGTCAGGGAACCCTGATTGCTCTTTGGGCTGACGAGGGAGGGGGACTTGACCGGGGAAAGGGGAGGGAAATGGGAGGCGGTGGCAGGGAGGAGGCAGAAATCTTTAATAAATAATTAAAAACAAAAACAAAAAACAGCAAAAAAAAAAAAAAAAAAAACACCTCAGGGTGCTCTTTTGTCTTGGTTGGATAAAATTAACAATTCTGAGAACCTCGGAACTTGAAGGGCTGCAGCCTTTTGTAGGGTTTCTTTTCATTTCAATACATTTACCCTAGAAGCATAAAAATGGCAGTGAAGGTAAGTGGCGAGGAAGACTACAGTCAGATAGTTTATTGAATTCATTGATTTTTGATAAGGAGGTGAATCTCATCTTGTTGTCTAAACAAGTTTCAAACTTCTGGGCTCATGCCATGCTCCCACTGATTATAGCTGCACTCCATATCCTTACAGAAATGCCCCTTTTTGTTTGCTTTTGATAGAATTTGTTTTTTCATATACTTGTGACTGGCTTAGAATTCACTAATACTGGCCACTGTTTCTACTGCTAAGATTTCAGGCATATTCAACTATGTCTGTCACGTAGACAGAATTTTTATCAACTATGATTTTACAACTGTGATAAAACAAATTAAATGTGCTCGGGGAAATTTAGTTTGTAGTGTTAATTTCATCTCCGCTCCTTTTATTATGTCAGTTGCAGGAGGCAGGCTTTAGTGACTGTCCTCTGACCTCTGTTTGCATTTACATACACACAGTAAATTAGAAATTAATTTTAAAAAATTAAAACAAACAGAACCAGGAATGGGCTAAGATTGTAGCTCTTTTGATAGGGTGCTTATCTGGGATCCAAGAACCCTGGGTTTTCTCTCCAGCACCACGCAACTCAGTATGATGGTGCACACCTTTAATTGCAGCATCTGAAAATGAAGGCAGAAAAGCTAAAATACAAGAGACTTTTTTATTTTACGATTCTGGGCAGTATAGCTGGCAAGTTTTCTGTGTGAACTGCCTGATATTCCCTGTTCAGGTAATTCTCATTAGTGGCTGTCTCATGGATAGAGGCCATTCTAGCTGATTATTTTATAGCTTAGCCACTGGCCTAGCAGAGTCTTTTAAGAACAAGGATAATAGGAGCTCTAGATGGCTCAGTGGCTAAGAACACTTGCTATTTTTGCAGAGAGCTATGTTTGGTTCCTAGCACCCACCTGATAGTCACCTGTAACTCCCAATTTCAGGCATCTGATGCCCTTTTTTCTGATCTCTGCAGACACTAGGCACGCGTGTAGTGTACATATGTTTATGCAAACAACATCCATACTCATTATATAGATAAAAAATCTAATTTTAAAATTAAAGCTAAGGAATCCTAATTCTTATTTGTTTTGGATAATTCCTTATTGTTTTGGTGTCTTATGGCAATAGGAGAAGTTACGGCTTCAAGGCCAAATAACAGAGGGGAGCAACATGATTAAAACAATTGCTTTTGGGCGCTATGAGCTGGATACTTGGTACCATTCTCCCTATCCTGAAGAATATGCACGGCTGGGACGTCTCTACATGTGTGAATTCTGCTTAAAGTACATGAAGAGCCAAACAATACTCCGCCGACACATGGTATGTTTTTTTGAGTCCTACTACGTGTCCATGGACACGAGGGTGATGTTATAGGATTTCCCAGTTATGTCCTAGAGATGACATCTCCCAAGTCGTAGCAATCGAGTGGAGACTTAAGGAATTGAAAGTTACATTTCAGGGGGGCCACTGCTGCAAGGCACCTTAATTACATCCTGTCTACAAACATGTTTTTTCTCTTTCTAATCTTTTGTTTTCTTCCTCAAAATATGAATTACCTCTCCCTATAGTATGTGTTTGCCCCAAATTCCAAGAAAATACATATATTTCATTAGATAAGACAGGACAGTGTAACTCATATTTTAGGTGGAGGGTATCTATAGAATGTGTGTTGAATGAATGTATATACAAGGGAGATCCACTTGGAAGGGATGATGAAAGTAACAGAATTGGTTGATAGTTTGTTTCTGAATGTTGTTTGTATTAAAATAGGAAAGGATTGCACACCTTGGTCTAGTGAATTATATGAGTATAAAAGTTGGATTTCAGGAAATACAAGCTTGTTTGCATTTCCATTGTGTCAGGTGTAATCACTGAAATGGCCTCTTTAGCTGGCTAATGTTTTCAACAAATAACTATTGCATTGGTTTAGTTATCGTGGAAAAAACCAGCAGGAGTAAGTGTAGCCGGCTTTCTTGAACCTCTAACTCCCAAATCAGAACATGGAGACTTACTATTATGAATGCTCAGCCTTAGTTTAGGCTTGTCCCACTAGCTCTTATAACTTACTTTAACTTGTTTCTCTTCCTCTCTGTTTTTCCTTGGGGCTTTTTACCTTTCTTTATTCTCTATGTTCTTCTTTCTTGCTTCCTTCATGTCTGGCTGACTGGTGGCAGCCTCGCTGGCTAGTCCATAGTGTCTCCTCTCTTTCTCCCTCTTTCTTTTCTCAAGCCTGGATTCCTCTTCCTGCTTATTCTCTCTGCCTGCCTGCCTGCCTTGCCTATTCCTCGACTGCCTAGCTATTGGCCTGTCAGCTTTTTATTAGAACAATCAGGTGTCTTAGGCAGGCAAGGTAAAACAAAAGTACCACATCTTTACGTAGTTAAACAAATATTCTATTTCTTAGAAATAAGGGGAGGAAATAGGAACATAGATGGAACTTTGAAACAATTCCAGTTAATAAATTTTTGAGTTGGGCATTGGTAACACACACCTTTAATCCCAGCACTTGGGAGGCAGAGGCAGGCAGATCTCTGTGAGTTCAAGGCCAGCCTGGTCTACAAAGCGAGTTCCAGGACAACCAGAACTGTTACTCAGAGAAACCCTGTCTTGAAAAACAAACAAACAAATAAATGAATTTTTGAGTTACCTATGAAAACTAGAACATGTTGTGTATGCCTTAAACAGACACACACACAGGCTTGAGTGCCTGCCTCTGTGCTAGGGAGGGAGCGCAACCTCATGCTTACTGGGTAAGTACTATACAATATACTGTACCATTGAGCTACAGTCCCAAACCTGGAACATAATTCTTTTAAGGTGTGTATATAATGTTTGTTTCAGATAGGGTCTTTAGCGCAATCTAGCTGTTTTCCTATCTCTGTCTCTTGAGTATTTATATTACCAGTGTGCACCAACCACTTTGTCCAGTGGATCTTTATTCTTAAGTTGTCAAAAAGATGTAATAAATTGTTTAATAAGAGTTTTTCTATATGTGTGAATGTGTATGTATGTGTGTATGCATGCGGATGTGTGCACACATGACTACATACCATGGCGTACATGTGAAGGTGATAGAACAACTTGTGGGAGTCAGTTCCCTCTTGCTATGTAAGTTCCCAGAATTGAATTTTAGTCATCCTGCTTGGCAGCAAACACCTGTACTTGGCTTAGAACTTTTCACCGGCAGAGTATGAGAACTTGGCTTGCTGCCTAAGATGCTGGGTACTAGCCCCAGCACCATGAATTGAACATTTTGAGAATAAGAAAACGGGGTTACTTTGGAGCCAAGTGCCTTCCAACTTCCTGTTTCTTTGCCAGGCCTTCTACCTGTTAAAATAAGCCATAGAAAGGATTTTTTTTTTCTAGCATATGGCAGGAGGTGGGCAGATAGTGAGGGACTCGTGATTGCAGATCTGTTTTCCAGGCTGAGGACAGAAGATGAAGGTAGGATGGTACTGGGAAGGGACTGGTAAAGGTGAGCGTAGCATACTTAGCAACACTAAGCTGCCAGAATAAGCTGCTTAAGAATTTCCTGTTAGCATGAGACATTTTATTGTAAGCAAGGATATTCTTATTAATCTGGCTTTTACGTTGTCGGTGATTTAATATCTTGGACTGAGATAATGCCAAAAATAATCCAGAAAACTTGAACCAAACAGCCAAAGTAATGCCATTGATATGTTGCAACAGCTTAAGAAGGCTTTAACTTTTCTGAAAAATGATTGATTTCACTGTCCTCAAGTGTGTTCAACTGTCCGTTAACTCAGCCAGTTTTAATCCGCAGTTCCTTTTCCCTCTTGAGGAACAGGGTTGTAGGAAAATCTGATTGCTTCATGTGAACTCCATTTTCTTGTAGGCCAAGTGTGTGTGGAAACACCCCCCTGGTGATGAGATATACCGCAAAGGCTCCATCTCTGTGTTTGAAGTAGATGGCAAGAAAAACAAGGTAAAAAGTGGTGACTTGAGAGAAAGATGCTAGTGGCAAGCATTTATGGGGTTCCAAAGGATTGTTTTATTTATCTTCACCAAACATTTGTGTAGGACTAGGGATTAGTTCTGTTTCAAAGTAGTGCTGGTACAGTCATTGTTTTAGGCTTTGCTTTGGGTGTTTTCTCAATTCTTCTGGTCATTGGCTCTTTCTCTGTTTCCAGATCTACTGCCAAAACCTGTGCCTTTTGGCGAAGCTTTTTCTGGACCATAAGACGTTATACTATGATGTAGAACCTTTCCTGTTCTACGTTATGACAGAAGCAGACAATACTGGCTGTCACCTGATTGGATATTTTTCTAAGGTCAGCAGGATCCTGGTGATTTAGAAGCTTAACAACCACAGCAGCATTATGGGTATTGGCGTCAGAGAACTCAGATCTTTGATGGAGAAGCAGACAGTGGTGATAGGTTTCTTGTAAACTAAAGAAGAAAGGCAAGCATTACACATGCATTACAGATGACTTCGTGCAAGTATTCTGTTCAGGCTCTGCCTTTGTCACCCAGGCTGGCCGGGAATTGTTGTGCAGCCTAAGCTGGCTTCAAACTCAGGCCCAGAACAGTCTTCCTGCCTCAACCTCCAAAGGGCTGGGATTACAGATGTAAGCCAAGACAACTGGCTAGTGCTGTTATTAGAAGGTTCTAGTTTATGTTTTTATGCTTATGGATTGGAGCTATTAATTACTGACCTGGACCCTCCCTGTAAACTTAAAACACATCCAGTAGCTGAAGCACCTCTTCTGGCTTTGCTTCCTTCTTTGTTGTTAGGTTAAAACCAGGAACATAAACTGGGCAGTGGTGGTGCACACCTTTAATCCCAGCACTTGGGAGGCAGAGGCAGGCGGATCTCTGTGATTACAAAGCAAGTTCCAGGACAATCAGGGCTGTTACACAGAGAAACCCTGTCTCTAAACAAACAAAAAGATGGAAGGTTAGCACAGTGGTCTCCAAACTATTTCAAAAGTATTTTTGTCTACTTGTTCTCTGTTGTGTGATTTCAATCCAGATGATCCTTTAGTACCTGAGGTTGCTCGGATCTACAAAACAGAGAGATAGAGAAAAGTACAGCAGAATAGCTAGCTCTGGAATGGATTCAGAAGCACGTGATGTAATTAAAGAAATTATTGGATAGCCTCTATAGATAAAGCTAGGGAACTCTGAAAGAGACAGTCCTTTTCATTCCATTTGGCTGCTTTCTGTGAGCCCACTCCTCATTTCTCCTGTGCACATGTTTATCTGACATAGCAGTGCTGTGTGCTGTACATTGAACAACAAACTAGAAATACTGTACTTCTGCACCCACATTGTCTCCTCGCAGAGAAGTGTGTGTGTGAGAAGCCATTTCTTCAGGCATATCCTAGGTGTGAGACTAAACGCTTTCCTTGTTAACCTACATTTGGATAATGGTAAGACATGAGGGGTAGTGGGCACACAGTACGGGCTTGGATGGAAGGAAAAAGACTCCAGTGACCCGTAGGAGATTGTTCTTAAGTGGAATCCATCTAATCTCAGTCATAAAAAGCAAGATGAAGAACCTGAAGCTGTTTTTGTATTCATTTCACCCTGAAGGACCTACAAGCTAGGTGGATGTTATGACCAAACAGATTAGACTACCTACATGCTATATTTTAAGGTCTAAGTTTAACTGGTCAACATTTAAATGGACTGGAGCAGTTAGCACATAAAATGCAATGGGCTTTATTCCCAATACTCACCTCTCCCTGCTCTTTCAGCCTTCCTCTTTTTTTTTAGCCCCTTTTCATAATCTTTGGTTTGTATGTGGTTTCTCAGTTAACACATAGCTGATAGCACTTATTTTTCTTAAAAACACTGATAATAGGCCTGTTTCAATGTAAGGCTGAAAATTCATTTGATGGAAATACTTGTGTGTATTTAAAGACCCAGTTGCTCCTCTGGAGCTTGTACATTCAAGAATGATTAATCTGTGCAATAAACTGACTACCATAGTCACTACATATTAAAAAACAAACAAACAAAAACAAGAAAACATGCAGGCTCAGATCCAGCTTATGGTTTTCTTTCGTTTTGTTGAGGTCTCCCTGTGTAGTCCTGACTGGCCTAGAACTCAGCATAGATTTACTTGCTTTTGCCTCCATGGTGCTGGTATTAAAGGTTACCGCAGCTGTGGTTATGGATTTTAATGTACTGTGACAACTTAATTAAAACACAGTGCACCATACAATTCATCCCTTAAACTGTTCAGGGCAATGGCTTCTAGTATAATGACAAGTTGTGACTGGTGTAGTCCTCATGGTTTCCATTGTTTCAAGAAGAGACATTGCAATCTGTCCCTATTTCCTCTTTCCCCTTCCTGGCACCTCTCCTACAAATTGACTTATTCTGGACATTTATAAACAGAATCGGGTATTGTGTGATTTGGTTGTCTTTTGACCTTCCAGGGGAATTTGGTTTGGTTTCCTGTCTTTCTGATGGGCAAGCTGTCTTCTGAAACAGTGCTTCTTAGAGAGGGCTCCTAGTATGTCATCCCAGCACTCTTGGCTTTGGCATGTTCTTGGAGTTATCTCCTTAAATTGGCACTGGAGGTCTGAGCTTGAGAGACCCTTAGGTTGATAGCTTTGGCCATCATGGTGTGGTAACAGCTGTCACATCCTCAGACTAACAGTATTTGATTTACAAGGCCTTATAGTCTTATTTTTTAATCTAGGATGGGGATGATTGTAGTGAAACTTTTAGTCTCAGTGTCTCATGATCTACTTGTCTGTTTTTGATTTTAGGAGAAGAATTCATTTCTCAACTACAATGTGTCCTGTATCCTCACCATGCCTCAGTATATGAGACAGGGCTATGGCAAAATGCTCATTGATTTCAGTAAGTGATGCTGCTGTGCATCAGCTCTTCAAGGCTGGGACCCTGGGGTCATCGGGCACTTTTGATGTGTGCTCTTGATAGTTCCCACCATGTAGTGGAGGTGTCCTGACAGCTAGTTAGTGAATGGACAAATTGGGGGAATACGAACATTTACCAATGAATACAGAACCTGAAGTTGCTACTGACTTAGTAGGAGATGCAGAGAATAATAAAGTAAGCTCTGCAGGATTATCCCATTTGAGACTGAAACAGCACATATGCGTGCCTAAGGCTTAAAGCTGTCCTTTGATGCTTGGGATTTCACTTATGTAAGCACTTGTGGAAGTAATCCATGTACTGATTCAGGCTTTGGGTTTATACTCACTCTTCATTAATCATGGGTATCGGGTTTGAATTTGTCTAACACACTAATGTGTACCTCCCATGTTAATGGGGGGAGGGATTTTATTAATTTGTTGGTTTGGAGGGTACATGTGGAGATCAGAGGACAACTTGCAAGAGTCTTCCTCCTCCATGTGGGTCCTGGGTTTGAACTAAGATCAATCAGCTTGGTGACAAAGTGCCTTCATTAAACTGTCAATTTAAAATGGCTGTAAGCATTGTGCTGAAGTGATGGTCTTTATTTAGCACAGGAAGACTGATAAATAAATGCATGTGTTAGACACGCTTTCTACAGACATGAATTACAGTACTATGGGTTGTGAGCCTCTGAATCAACAGAATGTGTTGTAACGTGTTTTTAAACAGGGGGCTGGAGAAATGGCTCAGTGGTTAAGAGAACTGGCTGTTCCCCTAGAGGACCTGAGTTCATCTCCCAGCACCCACATGGCAGCTCACAACTGTCTGTAACTTCAGGATCTGACATCCTCACACAGACATACATGCACACCAGTGTACATAAACTAAAAATAGATTTTTTTTTTTAAAAAATGTTTTTAAACAGAAAAGAACATTAGACATAGAAAATTTGATGGCTCTGGCCAGAGGCACTCAAGAAACAAACTTCACTCCTGTGAGCAGTGATTCAGTATTTCTAAGTCTGCATAACCACTGTGCCAACGAGAATCAGCTGTGTACTATCAGCATCCATGCATTTTAGTCACAGGAAGAGTGGAGGCTTGGCTGGAGAGATGGCTCAGTGAGTGGGTAAGAGCACTGACTGCTCTTGCAGAGAGCCCAGGTTCAGTTTCTAGAACCCACATGGCACTCAGAGCCAACTGTAATTCTAGTTCCAGGGGATCAGATGCCCTCTTCTGGCCTCCACACATTGTGTACACACATAAATTCATACATGTAGGCAGACACCATACACATAAAATAAAAATAAATGTTTTTTTTTTTGGTTTTTCGAGACAGGGTTTCTCTGTAGCTTTGGAGCCTGTCCTGGAACTAGCTCTGTAGACCAGGCTGGTCTCGAACTCACAGAGATCCGCCTGCCTCTGCCTCCCGAGTGCTGGGATTAAAGGCGTGCACCACCATCGCCCGGCAAAAATAAATGTTTTTAAGTCTATTTTTGGTAATGAGTATATCTGATATGCCTGTGTGTATGTTCATATTGACAACCAGAAGTTGATAATATAGTGTCTCCTCCATTTTTGATTTATTTATTGACAGAACATCTCTCACTAAACTGAGAACTCAATTTACTTTGACTAGTCTAGATTGCCTGCATGCCCATCTATGCCTCCAGAAAGCTGAGGTTACTGGCAGCCACCATGTCTTGTCTACTTTTTTGAGAGTTTTAAGTCCCCCTCCCTAAATAAAAAGAATGAAAACCAAGTCTGTGTTTTTTTTTTTTCCCCCCCTTGGCAGGTTATTTACTTTCCAAAGTGGAAGAGAAAGTAGGCTCTCCAGAGCGCCCCCTGTCGGACCTGGGGCTCATAAGCTACCGAAGCTACTGGAAGGAAGTGCTGCTTCGGTACCTGCACAACTTTCAGGGCAAGGAAATTTCCATCAAAGGTAGGTCGCGCTTGGTGACAGTGGTCCCCGTTCTGTTTAATCTGACTATGATTAGAGAGCATTGCAGAGACCCTCACTACAGGGCTGAAGCTCCCAGAACATTGGGTCCTGGAATGGTTGTAAAGTGGTTTCTCCCATCTGGAGTTGTTAACACTCAGTTCACCTAAAAACCAAGAAGAGGACCTGGAGAGATGGCTTATCAGTTAAGGGCACTGGCTGCTCTTCTGGAGGAATCGGGTTCAATTTGTAGTACCCATATTGCAGCCCACAACTATATGTAACTCCAGTTTTAGCACACACATACACAGACGTACACTCAGGCCAAATGCCCATATATATAAAATATATTCATATACCTGTGAATATATGTCATTTCTTTTAAAAATCAAGAAGAAAGACTTCAAGTATTTTGAAACATTGAAATTTTAGGAAAGACATCTGGCTCTTATACAGGAAGAATTTAGGATTCCAGTTTGATTTCTGAGGATCTCAGAGTAGTGTCTTACCATTAAATTTGTTTTTGGTAGTTAACTTTGGCTGGTCAAACATTCTGATCAGGTAGCCTAAGTACCTCAGATTTGTGTTCTGGAAACTCCATGAAAATGAAAGGGGGCCTTGGGAGGCATGGATGTGGGTTCTATGCTTCAGCTGGGATCTCAGTAGCTGCTCTGTTACAGAAATCAGCCAGGAAACAGCTGTGAATCCCGTGGACATTGTCAGCACTCTTCAAGCCCTTCAGATGCTCAAGTACTGGAAAGGCAAGCACCTAGTTTTGAAGAGACAGGTGAGAGTTCCCTCAGCTGCAGGTGGTGTCCTTAGAACTTAGCAGAGCTCGGCGGGGTTGCACTACCCACAGTTGACTTCCCTTAAAGGGTGTGATTGGAAGCTCCTAGCCTTGTTCCAGCTGGCAGCGAGGTCCACGTGGCCTTTGTTTCTAAGCTTATCTCCTCCCTTGTCCTTATCAGAGCTTTTGGTAAGCTCTGTGAGACAAGTTAAGCAGCTTTGTGTGGCATAACATTTCTTTTTTTTTCTTTTGGATTTTTCAAGACAGGGTTTCTCTGTAGCTTTTGGAGCCTGTCCTGGAACTAGCTCTTGTAGACCAGGCTGGCCTCGAACTCACAGAGATCCTCCTGCCTCTGCCTCCCGAGTGCTGGGATTAAAGGCACATAACATTTCTGCCCATCCTTGAGCGTTCTTGTGAGTTCTAAGATTCTCATAAGTGGTTTGGGATTATTTTGTTAAATGCTACCTCAGCTCATCCCCATTTTGCATTTTTAGTTACTTACATGTAATAAGCATAAATGCATGGTTTTCAGCTCTCATTGAAGGCTGAATAGGAAGAATTAGATTAGAGAGGAAAGCAGTTTGCAAATCCAAAGATAATATCATGTTTTACCTTTTAATAGATTATTGGAACCTGGGAGAATCTGTTGCTGGCCATTTGGAATCTTTTAAAGTGTGTTAGTTCCATATATGTGATAATTGCTCCTTTTTTCTTCATAGGACCTGATAGATGAATGGATAGCCAAAGAAGCCAAAAGGTCCAACTCCAATAAAACCATGGATCCAAGCTGCTTAAAATGGACCCCTCCCAAGGGCACTTAAAGTGACCTGTCATTCTGAGCCAGCGAGCCCCAGCAGTAGGAATCCGTACCCTAGGGATCTGTCTGTCATTTCTGTTGCTCTTGTGATTGGCAAGTACAGTATCCTTTGGGAAGGCCACCCCCTCAGGACTGTCCTGGCTCCGACCTTCGTGTACACTGCAGACACTGGTTCTGAGGAACTGTTGTTTCGGCCTCAGTGAGGTTGCCTGGACGGATCTGTATTAGGCTCAAGTACAGATCCTCATAGCACTGACCCAGGAGTTGTGTTATGGTACTGTACCTGTCCAGTCACTGGTTCCCTCATATTCGTTAGCCCCGTGAGGTTTGTTGTGTCCTGAACTTTGTGCTAGTGCTTTTTCCTGCCTGGTTACCAGACCTCCAAACATGGTCGCAACCGAAGAGCCCTTTGCAGTTATTCCTTACACATTCTTCATGAAGGGGCGGGGAAGAGGCAGCACTTAGAGTAATGTCTGTCTCCTGGGAGGGTCATTCATCCTGGATTTCATTTCACTGTCACTTATTTTTCCATTTTGTCAGATGACTTGCCTTTGGTCAGGGTCAGAGTGGCCCGAGCTAGGTATTCCTAAATCGTTTCCCAGGGAATCACATCAGCTGGTCCATCCGAATGAGACAGGGTGAAGAGGAAGAGGCGGTGATTCCAAATTTTTCTTTGTGTTCACTCACGGGCACTGGGCAGTATCTTACTGGAAGGAAATGGGTAATTCTTTTTTCACAGCAGAAAGTACCCCCTCTTTTTATTTCCTGCCCCCTTTTATGTTGGCAGTTGCCTAGTATTTTAGCAGTTTTCTTTCATGCCACATGGTAGTTGATTAATCACATGCAGATATTTCCACCTGCCTTTGCCAGTCTGGTGTAGGGCAGATACACTTCCACATAAGTTGCACTGATTTTGTCCAGAGCTTCCTGGGAGAAGTGGAAAGTGGTTGAAAATGAGTTCTGTTTCTCAGCCCATTACTCAGCAAGACAGGGGACACACCGCTACGGTTTGCTTCCCTTCAACAGTGCCTCCCCCTACAACAGGCTGAAGTGCTTCTGTCCCTCCAAGAACTTCATTGCCCTTTTAGAACTTGCCACCATCATCCTGTTCTCTGGTTTCCTATTTTTGGTGGTGTTAAGTGAAGGAAGAAATGTTCCCTCTAATTTCTCTCTGTCCCATTATATAACCTGCTATCTTGGGGGCAGCTTTTGATGTCTGACATGTCACCCTTCCCAACTTGGTCTCCTGCAGCACTGCTGTCTTCACGTGGCACCCTCACCACAATCCTAACTCTGGTCATTTGTGCCTTTCTCTTGTCATCTCTGTACACTACTAATATCCACTGTGGGTTGGAGGGAGCTGATCTTAAGCATGTTCAGTGGCAGCTCCCCTCCAGTTTCAGTGTCACTGTTAACATTTATCCAAATGCTGTTCACTGGGGATTTTTCTTAAGGGATAAAGGCCTTTTACAGATGCTGAACCCTTCCCCACATGTGGTAGAATGTGCTCTTCTTTATCTACTCAATAAAGCATGTTCTCTGCTCATGTCTGAGTAATCTGAGGCTTGTTTATGTGTGGAAATGGTATGATTGATCCGTGGTTAATGGCTCCGTGAAGGGTTAGGAGTGGGGTTTATAACTGGATTGTTTTTCCCATGTGAAACAGATTGTTCACAGAGTAAGTGTTGACTCTGAACTCATTAACTGGTAGGACAGATTGAATCTGCCTCCCTTTGGCTCCAGGAACTAGTTATGCACAACAGTGACTAGCTAGTATAACATTCTCTGATTCTTCTGCCTCTGGTTTGGGGGGTAGAACCAGTGGGGAGTTAAGGTAGGTGGGGGTACCATACATGCTTATAGGAGGCAGAAACAAGTGTGTTCCTTTCTCTCCAAGTGTGTCTACCAGCAGTGAGCCACATAAGCCATGTCTCTCTAATCATTGCCCAACTCAGACTGTGCTTCTGGGAATAGTTGGATTTTGCTTGTGTTTGCTTGATCAGGAATAGGGCGGTTGGGCACTGCCATCTGTATGGTGGAAGAGGAGCTGAATTGGGCTGGAAAGATGGCTCAGCGGTTAAGAGCATTGCCTGCTCTTCCAAAGGTCCTGAGTTCAATTCCCGGCAACCACATGGTGGTTCACAACCATCTGTAATGAGGTCTGGTGCCCTCTTCTGGCCTGCATACATGCAGACAGAATATTGTATACATAATAAGTAAATAAATAAATATTAAAAAAAAAAAAAAAGAGGAGCTGTATTTGCTGGGGTGGTTTTGTTCACTGGCAGGCCCTCCTGCAGTTGGGAAATGCAGTGGAGAAAAATAACTTCTTCTATTCATCTTAGAAAAGGTTTGTTCAAATCTCTGTGTCATAAACATTTACAGCAGAGGGAAATTTTGTTCTTTCACAGTTTGAAGATTGTTAATGTGGACCATGAGAAATGAGTACTAAGAAAGGTTGTGTGGTCCTGATCCTGTCTCTAGACTAGTCATCACCACTAAAGTTTGACACTACCTATTTACAACCCACTTGGCTTTCCAACCGTAGAAGAAATCTGGAGAATAGTCTACAGTTCTTTGTTTCTGGGTCTGACACAGCAGATGACTATTTGGGGGCAGCATCCTGTGTGCTTAGCACTATTTTCCCAGGCCGTTGCATTAACTGCATGCTGTTTGCTCACACTGGTTGTAAGGAAGTCTGGAGGCAGGAAGCCAGAATGCTCACTTTGCTCTGTCCCAGGTGAGAATCTGTACTGCCTCTACCAATGCCTTCTTCAGCTTCAGTTCCCTAGTGTGTAATCATCCTCTCTTTCTATGTATCTACTGCTAGGTTATTAGAAACAGCCATGTTGCGAGGTGGTGGTGGCACACGCCTTTAGTCCCAGCACTTGGGAAGCAGAGGCAGGCAGATCTCTGTGAGTTCGAGGCTAGCCTGGTCTACAAGAGTTAGTTCCAGGACAGGCTCCAAAGCTACAGAGAAACCCTGCCTTGAAAAACCACAAGAAAAAGAAAAAACAGCCATTTTTCTAGAGGCTTCATTGAAAGGATACTCATTAATTTGCTGAGAACTTTCAGATACTTAATCAGAGCCTTGTATCTATCTCTTGCCTCCAAAAGGCATGCCGTGATGAGGTCTGGTCACCTGATGCCTATTTTCCCATTTCTCCTGGGATTATTGGGTCCTGCAAAGACATTTTTAGCAGTATAGTGTATGCTTTGTAGAGCATAGTGGTGCTTCCTACTTGGGCTTGGCTGGGATTAGGTATGCTGGAATGTAGTTGTCCGTCAGTTGATTGGTCTAGATCAGTGGTTCTCAACTTTCCTAATGTTGCAATCCTTTAATACAGTTCCTCATATTGTGACCCCCAACCATAAAACTATTTTTGTTGCTACTTCATAACTGATTTTGATACTGTTATGAATTGTAATGTCAATATCTGATATGCAGGATATCTAATATGCAACCCTGGTAAAAGGGCCATTTGACTCCCAAAAGAGTCATGACCCACAGTTGGGAACTACTGGTCTAGATCTAGTTACAGATAAAAATTGAGCATAGTTTGCTTGCAGCACCCATTGCTTCTGGAACAAGAAACCATTGGGAATGGTCATTTGGTTGCCTTACAAGAGTAGCCCTAGCCGGGCGGTGGTGGCGCACGCCTTTAATCCCAGCACTCGGGAGGCAGAGGCTCCAAAGCTACAGAGTAGCCCTAGACCTTCCTGCTCTTAAGAGGAAGAGCAATTGCCAAGTCAAATGATTTGTTAGAATGACTGTTCTTACAGCAGGGTCAAGCAGGAGAGCTCCGAGCCATGATCCTCTGTTTGTTTATGGCCTTTGGGAAACTGATAAATACATTAGGGGTGCGTGTGTGCATGTGTGTATGTGTACACTTATGCAGAAATGCACACGTTTATTTACAGTTCAGGAAAATTGCCTTTCAAGTCCTTCCCAGACGGGGTTAGTGAAGCCTGATTTGAGAATCTTCGCGGTTTAGCAGGAAACATTCTGGCTGCTCTACTCTTACTCAGGACTCTGAACTAGTTCTCAGGATGTGCTTGAATGCAAAGAGCCGATTCTGGTGAGTGGTGAAGTATAGAGGAAGGACTGGTTCACTGGCTGCTGGACTCCCAGGGTGTGTGTTTTGAGAATAGAAGATGAGAACACCTTTGCTAAATAATAGGATGTGATGTGCTAGGAATGGGATCTCAGCTGCTTTTACTCAGGACTTTTGGCCACAAGCTTGCAAATGACCGCCTCTCGCAGACTGAGGGGGGCAGTGTAAATTGCTCACTTCCTTTGTGGTATCTTAAGCAATGCCAATGAATGTCACTAAACCAGAAACAAGGTTCAGCAGTGAGGAAAATGCCCCCCTGGATGAAGCATCAGTGTGCCCCTCCCCTCCTGTTCAGTGTGTGCCTTCAGGTACATGTTCGGACACCTGGCTTTGTTTACTTGAGCCTCAGAATAGAGAAAATAACCTGGACTGTTGACCACTTTGGCTCCATGGTGTCGCCTCCCAAGTGTTCCTTGTGAGTGATAAGCATCTCTATTCTCTACAAGTCACGTTCCAGTAGGGGTTATTTCTGGAAACAGCTTACCTTGGACTTAACTCTGCCACAAGTTGTTGGAGACTTGTTCTCTTATCTCAGTCTAGAGCGTGCTAGATGCTGCTTCATCCCTGTGTGCATGGGGGCCTTGTGAGTGGTTCACTTCCCTTGAGTGTGTGTCAGATTTGGAATTTTGGAATGATGGTTTGGTGATTGTAGACCAGAAGCAGAAGTTGACCTGCAGTGTATGGAGAGACTAGACAGAACTGGGGTGCTCTTGCTGACAACACCAAAAACTCAAACATGGGGTTGAAGATGTCACTCCCAACCTAACTCAGGAATTCAGAGTCTGGCTTTGAATTCCTAATCCTCCTGCCTCCAGCTTGGAATGCTGAGATTTCGGGTGTGTGGCACCACACTCACTTGAGACATGCCTTTCAGAGCTATACCTTTCTTCTTGGGATGACCACTATTTCTGTTACCTGTACTGTGTAGCTCCCTAGAGACAGGAAGCAGGGGATGTTAATCCTTTCAGATACTCTCCAAGCACTTGCCAGTATTACCATTGAGCTGGCATTAGATCCTGTACTTTGAGAAATCCCACCTTACTGAGAGAGAGCTCAGTACTTAGAGCACCAACATTATCTCACCACTTAACAGTGGGAATGGGAAGAAGAGGACACCAAGGCAGCCAAATGATGGTTCCCAATTAGAAACCTTTACAAAGCAACTGGCTTGGCTACTCACTAGAAATTACTCGAATGGAGACAGTGTTGTATGTAGAGATCAGGAGCTTGGGGTGACATGCACAGAAGTGGGTTTTCAGCGTGGGGACATCTCAGCTCTTTCCAAAAGCCATCGAGTCTTCCAAGGCACCTGGGATGCTTGGATTGGAAAGTGAGCAGATGAAGTATATCTACCGGAAAATTCTGCTGTAAGGACAGACTCCAGGGAAGAGGTCCATACTGTCCCCCACTCGATATTCCTCTCCACGTGTGAGAAGGAAGAAAGGCTTGGAGTTGGCTTGAGTCTTAACGGTAAACAGGAAGTTTTAGAACAGATTTACTATAGGTCTAGTGAAAGCAGGGTGGCTGGGCACGGTGTACAGAGCTGTAATCCTAGCCTGGGGTGGCTAACCTGGAGGAGGATTGCAGATTAAAGCCTATCCTAGGTGCCCTGTCTTAAGAAAAAAGAAAATGAGAGAAAAAAGGTGAAGACTTCCTTAGTGGTAGTCTTAATTAATTTGATCACCTCTCCAGTGTCCTCTGCTGTCACCGTCCAGGCATTCAAATGCTTAACTTCCCTTCCTGTTCAGTGTACCTAGCTGCCACTCGACGTCACACATGGAAGGGAACAAGTGCCCCTGGAAAGATAACCATTTCCTCTTGGAATGAGGGACACAAGATGAACATATTTTTGTGGTTCAGTAAGTGAATGAGCTTCCTTTGCTGTTAACCCTGCCCATGTAATTCCAATATATTTCTATCACATATGTTCCTATGTATACTTAGGTACTTGCATGTGTATGCACAGCATGAGAGGGTATTGTTTCTCAGCTGCTAAACACTTGTGTTTTTGAGACCAGATCTCTCATTTGCATAGAGCTCACCCATCTCTGTCCTCTGTCCCCAGCACCATGATTATAAACACACTACTGCTGGGCAGTGGCACATGCCTTTAATTCCAGCACTCGGGAGGCAGAGGCAGAGGCAGGTGATCTCTGAGTTTGAGGCCAGCTTGGTCTACAGAGTGAGTGCCAGAACAGGCTCCAAAGCTATGCAGAGAAATCCTGTCTTGAAAACAAAAACAAACACTCTACCATGCTCTGTTTCTTTTTCCTATTTTTTGTCATATTTGGTTGTTTGGTTTTTTGAGACATGGTTTCACTATACAGTTCTGGTTGTCCCGAAACTCACTCTGTAGATCAGGCTGGCCTTGAGCTCACAGAGATCCACCTGCCTCCCGAATACTGGGATTAAAGTATGCATCACCATCATCTGGCTATTATTATTACTATTGTTATTATTTTATTATTCTGGGGATCAAACTGCGGTCTTCATGCTTACATGGAAAGTACTGTGCTGGCTGAGCTGGCTCCATCCCCTACCAATCTTATTTCCAGTGTTTACCCTTGGATTTCATTCTAAGGGACTTTGTAAAAATTAAGTTTACTAATTGGGTGTGGTGGTGCAAGCCTTTAATCCCAGCATTTGGGAGGCAGAAGCAGCGGATCTCTGAGTTTAAGGTCAGCCTGGTCTACAAAGTGAGTTTCTGGACAGCCAATGCTGCACAGAGAAACTATGTCTCAAAAAGCCAAAAGAAAAGAAAAAGAAAATTTTAACTATTTTGTGTGTACACACGTGTGACTACTACATCACATGTAGCGATCAGAGGATATGTTTTGAAAGTTACTTCTCTTCACCGAGTGGGTCTTGGAGATTGCGTCAGATTTGGTAGTGAGCGGTCTACTCACTGAGATAAGTGAGTCACTCACTGGACAACATTTTCTTTCCCAGATAGAGTCCCAGCATGTTGTTCAGGCTGAATTCCTGAGCTCAAGCCTCAGCCTCCTGTGGGCTGAGACTGCAGATAAATACCACTATACCTAGCTTCTGACGTCACTAAACATCTCAGGGTCCTCTGTCATAGGCAAAGTGTTTCCCCCACTAGATTGAGGCTCTGAGGTTGGTGCTGTTCTGTTTTTCTTGAGCTCTACCCTGGCATACGAATGGGGACAGCTAACTGTTGTAAAAAGCCAAGCAATTGAAGGGCCACCTTATACAAAAAGATTGATGACCTGGGACCAAACTGCAATCAGGAGGACTAAGTTGGAGAGGGTGACTTCGTTTTTTTTTTTTTTTAATCTTTTTTAGCTTTATTTTGTGTCTGTGTGTTGGTACACATATGCTATCTCACACATGTAGAAGTCAAAGGACTACTTGGAAGTGTTTACTCTTCCACCTTGTGGGTCCTGAGGATTGAATTCAAGTTGCTGGTCTTGGCAACAAATGCCTTAAACCCACTCAGTCATGTCATCAAGCCAGGAATATCAGGAATCCAAGGAAAAGAAGGCCTCTGACCCTACTCCCTCTTACACCCAAATGCATGCAGTCCACCCCATCAGGAACTCTTGGTTCTGTTGCAGTTCTTAGCCTGGCCCCAAGTTCTTTTCCCACCTGAGGGTGGACCTGGGCTGTGTAATTTTGCTCTGCTCTTCTGACATCCTGCCCTCTGCCTTACCTGGCCAAGAAAGCTACTTGTTACCGCTCTGTGAGTAAGCTCACACTAGTCTACCTATTATCCCAGAACTGTAGAATGTGGCATTTAAGTAACTTAGGGTTCTGTTGGCATAAGACATGATTGCTCCTGGCAGCACCAATCTATTCCCGAGAGAACATTGAGCACCAAAGACACTCCACTTGGAGCTTGTTTTCTTCTTAGCAAAACTGGCCTTTGGGCAATGCCTCGACCACTGACAAAATGCACGGTGTCCAGACCAGACAAGCAAAATACAAGAAAAAAAAAAGCCAAAACCTTACCAAGACAGGGTAAGATGGTTTTGGAAATTTTCCTGCCTCTGAAAATGGTCTGTCAGTTACTCTAGGCCTTAGCCAAAGTTGGTTGCTCCAACGTTGCAAATGAGATTTTGGGTGATTGCCCAGGTAGTCAGTTGTTTCTGTCATTTACTGCACATTTTGGAAGCTGCTTGATTTCACTTCCTGCTTACTCAAGTAATATTTCCCTTCTCAGGTCTTCTATGAGGTTGAAGATTAGATAGTCGTAGTTACTTTCCTCTAATGACTTAGCCAAACTATTTCTAATGCAAGACTTAGACTCCTTAGGATAAAATAATTATTAAAACATATGTTTCTTGCTTAATATTGTTTATTTTGGTTGTAATTCTAATTTTTATATTTGATACCTGCTATGTATAGTTTTGTATTGGGTTTGGAACTCTTATTTAGACAAAAAGGGGAGGTGCTGAGGAACCTCCTTCAGCTGTGGCCTTGGAGAGGCCTTGGCAGGTTGGGCGTGGACTTGAGTACAAAAAAAGGTGCACCTGAGCTCTCTCCTCTCACCTGGATGCTGGATTCAGTTCCTGTTCCCCGTGTGTGCAAAGGACTGTGATCTGTGAGTCCCCCTTAAATAAAGAACCCCTTATACTTCATTCTGAGTTAGTGTGGGATTAATTTATTTGTGTTCTTCTGCACTGCTCACTTTTATGGAGCCCCACTGTTGGGCATGAGTTACAGGGTGTGAATCTTACCCTGTAATACACAGACACGAGAGCCTGGGTGCAAGGGAGAGCTGGGCCACTGCAGCCTGTGAGGCAGCACTGCTTTGTGTGCCATTGCTACCTGGTGCCAAGAGGCCTGGGAGAAATGCAGGGCTCAGTGCGGGCCTGGCATGAATGCCCAAGTTAAGGACAGAAGACACTGGACTGTTGGCCCGAGGCGCTTCAGCTATAACGTTCAGGGAGAGGTGGGCATGGCATCATTTGGGAAGCGTCCTTTGGGGCTCACTCTAAACCCTGGTCATCCTCTTCCGTGTCCAGGGAGAGTGCTACACGTTGCTGGTGATTGAGAGAGTCTGGTCTTCCTGTTTGACTCTGGAGGCCTTCCCTGGCCACTGTTCCGGGCTCTGCACTCTCGTGGTGTGTCTCCTGTCTGCAGGCTCCTAGAGCAGTGAAATTATAGGTTCATCTGCCACATCTCCAGCCAGCCCTTGGTCATCCTCCACAGAAAGGGGAATGGTATCCTAAAGCCCAAAAGATTTTCCTGGGGACATGGAAAACTGGTTTTGTTACTAGTTCACTGTGGCTAAGGACAAATTACTTTCTGTCCCTGGAAAATGATACCTCTAAGCAACCTGCTCTCCCCATGATGTAGAACATTCATTTCAACTTGATACCGGGGCGAGTTCCAAAGACCCTCTGAAAAACTCATCCCCTGAAAAAAAATCTCAGGGGGAAAGAGTTCATTCTGGCCTTCCCAATAGCCAGTGTTCTATCAGGAAAGCTAGGGAGGAGCCAGAAGTCAGGTACAACACTGAAACACAGCATGGAGTTCATCGTGTGACCTGCATCTGATCACTGTGGATCCACCGCTCACTTGCTCTGCTCCTCCCCCAGCCTGAATTGTTTATTTTCATGCCTGGCTTCAGGGACCATTTGAGGGTACAGCTCTTGCTTGGGGTGGGGGGCAGAATGTTAGCTGCTTAGGTTATCGTCCCCCCCATAGGACTGCTCACTTAATAACAGCTGTTGACTAAGAGTCTCTTTAAGACCACATTCCTGGCCTAGGGATCAACAATTAGGACTTTACAGACAGGAAAGGCAGATGTCTGCAGAACATCGTATTCTGTGGCTCCATGGAACCTAGAGGACATGGGCTGGGAAAGACAACTCCAAGATTATCAGGGCTGGCAAAATGGCTCAGCCTGTAAAGGGACCCATCACCATGTGTGATGGGTCTCCGGTACATGATGAAAGAAGAAAACCAACTCTTGCAGGTTGACCTCTGACCACACACATGATATGGCAGACACGAATACTCAGAAGACCAGTAGGAGCCTCTCCCATCCCTTGCACCTCAGCTCCTGCCTCCTCTGGACCCTTCTGCTGGATAGAATGGTATGGGAGCCTGTCCTATCTGATGGCATCAGAGCGCCTGGCTGTTTTCCCATGATGCCCTTGTCACCCTTCAGATGCTCTCTCCTACCTTCTATGGAGAAGCCTCTCGCACCAAGGAGGTCCTGCATTATTCGTCCCAGCTGATAACCTGGTGAGAGGTAGAGAAAGGGGGAGCAGTAAAGGAAGGTTGCCTAGGGCATGGGGTAAGGACAGGCAGGGCAGAGCTGGGCTTTGTTTGCAAAGGCAGCCATCCTCACTCAGGGCAGGTAAAGAAATGCCCTGGATCCCTCCATCCATCCATGGCTTTACTCATCGAATCCCTCCTCTTGCTCGTCCTCTCACCCATATTTCCATGTATAGAGACTAGGCTAAGTATTAAGGGTGTGGAGTGGCCGAAACCCTGGGGCTTCCTGTGGGGAGTTTCCAGGTTGGAAACAACAGCCATGTGACGCACCAGGACTGGACAGTGCAGTGTGCCACTGAGTCCACCATCCCCAGGCCGTGGAGACGAGCTCCCTGCTCAGGAGGGGCAGTCCCGCATCAGCTGTTAAGGATGGGGCAGCTGAAACCAGTAACGACCCCAAGGGGCACAAAGCGGGTGTGCCTGATCCACACGCAGCATTCAGGAGTTGTGGAAACAAGTTGGTGTTACCTGTGTTGTTTTGTTGTATTTGAGAGGGGTTCTTGCTTTATAGCTTTATAGTCCAGGCTGGCCTATACCTTGTCATCTCTCTGCCTCAGCCTCCCAAGTGCTGGGATTGCAGGTGTGAGCCACCACACCTGACCCCTCTTGTGATCCCCTTTCTGTGGAAGGGCTTAACCTGGATTTGCAGTCCTAACATCCTCAAGGGCAAGGGGTTGAATCTCTGAGCTCTTCCTGGTTTATTCATTTTCTTAACTCTGGTCATTCTAAAGCTCTAACTCAGTCTCCTACCTCTGTAGGCACTCCCTAGGCATGCATATCCCACATAGAAAATCCATCTTCTGGTCAAGTCCCATCAGCCCCCGATGGGACAGCAGTACCAACCAGTCATGCCCCCAGCCAGAGCTTCACTGCTTATTCCAGGGTGGCTAATGGATAACACTGTGTGCCCCGCCACACCCCAGGGAGCATGCTGAGGGTAGACCAGGGCAGCACTCACCCATTCCTTCCCTTGGCTGGATCGGACGTATTCCTGGAAAGAGAAAGGGACTGAAGACTGAACTGCTTCCCTGGCGGCTTGGTGAGAGGTGTGAGGGGCTCTTCACGGGAACGCTGGCCATTCCCACTGTCCCTGTGTGACAGTGGGAGTGTGCCCACAGGAGGCAGTTGAGCCTGCATACATCACTGCATACATCACTGGGATTTGACACCAGCTGGGAGGCATCCTTGGGAAAAGTACTATCAGAACCTTAGTCACCTACTGGGCATATGGGGGTGTTGTTGCCATAGTGACCTGGCCATGTTGAGGTTCTGCTGTGCTCAAGGGCAAAAAAAAAAAAAAAAAAAATCTTTGTCTTCCTGATTCAATGTCTATTATGGTTTTTGAGGCAGGGCCTCCCACTGAACCAATTTGGTTTGACTAGCTGGCCAGCAAGTCCCAAATATCATCCTGTGTTTACCGCCCCAGTGCTAGGATTACAGGTGTGCTGTCTAGATTCTCTGTGGGTGTTGAGTGCTAAATTCAGGCTCTCATGCTTATGTGGCAGGCACTTACTAACTGAGCCATCTCCCTGATCCTCACCCTACCCTGGTGTTTTAAGACAGGGTCTCATGTAGTCTAAGCTGCCTCAAACTGACTATGTAGCCAAAAATGACCCTGAACTTCTGTCTTGTGTCTACCCACCGCATGCTGGGATTACAGATATATGCCACCGTGTCCTATTTATGGTCATATTCTGACCATTTCCCCACTGGTGGTCTTAAGTTTTGCAAAACCTTGCTGTTATGAACAACTAGGCAGTGAACCCTGTAGTGCAAACATCTCGGCTCATGTGACATTCTCATACAAACTTGAGATTTTTCTGGTGTGAAACTTGCTCAAAAGTGTACACCAGATGTTGGTGGTGCACGCCTTTGATCCCAGCACTCAGGAGGCAGAGGCAGAGGCAGAGGCAGAGGCAGAGGCAGAGGCAGAGGCAGAGGCAGAGGCAGAGGCAGACGGATCTCTATGAGTTTGAGACCAGCCTGGTCTACAGAGTAAGTTCTAGGACAGCCAAAGCTACACAGAAAACAAGGATGACTTGTCTCCCGGGACAGCTTCCTTGTTCCCAGTACACAATAACTCAGGTACACAATAACTGTCCTTGAACGGCTCACATCTAGATGCTGCTGTTCATTTCCCAGCATGCCCCATCACCCTGGTACAGAACCTGGGTGTAAAGCGTCAGCCCCACTGCTCCTGTGCTGGACCTGTTGCCACTGGCACCCCCCAAAGCATCCTGCTGGGATGATGACTGGTAGGGGCAGTATACCTCACCATCCCATGGGCATCCTCTCCCTGGTGTTGCAGAAGGCACTCAGCACCATGCCCTCTGCCTTTGTCACTCACCTTCCACCCGCTTCCCCATCAGACCGTATAACTGGCGAGTTCTGCTTCTCTTCAACTCCTGAAGCTGGAGTTCAAGGCTGGCAACAGGGAGTCCCTGGAGAAGCAGAGAGTTAGCATTAGAGTGTGGCGCTGATGAGGAGACGGGGCCATAACCAGCTCAAGAACAGCCCGCACCAGGCTCTTCTGCATATTTTACCCCCAACATTGTATTAAGGATGATGTAAAATTTCACCTGCTATGTTCTTGGTACTGTTCTAAGCACTTCCATTCGGTAGCTCACTAATTCTCACCCAAACCTCGTGAAAACAGCCCAATATTATTGCTGTCAGCATTTTATAGATGAAGACATCCAGGTACATAGAGGTGAAATGATATGTCCAAAAATAACAGAAGAGCCAGAACCAAAGCCGTCTAGATCAAAGGGTAGGCTCTCCAACACTCGGTCAAAATTTTAATATAAATAAACTACCATTAAGACTGGAGCTGGGCATGGTGGCATTTGATGGAAACCCCACACACTTGAGTGGCTGAGGCAGGAGTATTATGAGTACAAGGTCAGTCTGAGCCACATAGCCAAAACACTACCACCACCACACACATAAAGGCAGAAGCAGGAGTGCTAAAAACCGGAGGTTAGAGGAATCCACATGTGGTTCCAGGTCAGCTAGGGATACATAGTAATACACAGTAAGACTGTCTCAAAAGAACACGTAGCTGGGTGGTGATGTACTCCTTTCATCCCAGCACTCAGGAGGCAGAGGCAGGGGGATCTCTGTGAGTTGAAGGCCAGCCTGGTCTACAGAGCTAATTTGAAAGACAGCCAGGGCGTCTACACAGAGAAACCCTGACTCAAACAAACAAAAAAGTGACTCCCCCCCATCCATTTTACTTATGTGTGGAAACTGAGGTTTCTAGTAACCTTAATCAGGGTAACAGGGTAACAGGAGAAGCTGGAGCAGGATCAAAAGTCTCGAGAAATGTCAACAAGGACCAGAAGTGGCTGCCCCTTACCATAGCAGGGCAACCAGGGCTAGTAGCTGTTCTCTCCTGCATTGTCCCAGATTTACCCTCCCCAGAGCCAGGCATCCTGGGAGGAGTCCCCCATGGGGTCTGGGTGGAGCTACTGCCCTGAAGAAAGACATTTTAATCCCCTCGCCTAGCCCAATTGGCAAATATCCTTCCCAGCAGCTGTAGCCCTGAGTTCTAACCCCCCCTCCACTCCCTCTGTGACCTTGGATCTCTTGAGGGAGCACCTTTTTCTCTGCTCAACTCTGAACTGAGACAGGTGGGAACCACCTTGTCCAACAAGGCTGAAGACAGGCCACAGGCTGGGACCTGGGGGCTAGGGACAGCTCAGTGACTCGGATCTGCTGCAGATCTCAGGACTCCAGGGATCCGGTTGGGAGGCAGGGAAGACCCACGAGCTGTTTGGGGCTTGTCACACTGTTTTCGTGATAGATTGTTTTCTAAGCCTTGGCCTAATTCAGTCTCCCAATCTGTCTCCTCCCTGAGCTGTCTGTCAGTGGCTGAGACAGCTGTCGCCAGCTGGAGTCGCCCAGCCTAGCCAGAAACCAGAGGAAAGTCTCTTTGGAGATTTAGGCCCATCTTTGAAAAGCTCACGAAAACCACTTTGCCTTAATAAAGGACATGCTTCAAGCTCAGACTGGAAAGAGTGGGCTTTTGTGAAATAAACATAGCAGAGACCCTTCTATCCGCTAAGTTTCTGCTACGGGAGGAGAAGCATTGGGAGGCCCATTCTGTTTTACCCAGGAAGCCCCGTGGTGCCTGCAGGCAGTGCACCCTCGGAACTGGGAGCTATGAGGTCATCTCATTTGTCGTCACACTTAGCAACGCGCGATCAGTCTGTCAAGATTTCTGGTGTCTAGCCTAGCCTCTCCTCTTCTTGGGAGGCAAAGAGGCACTACAGGAGAGAGGAGGGGGACAAGAGTCACCCCTACAGGACGAGCTAATTGACTGCAGGTGAAAACCAAAGCTGCCGATGCCATGTGAAACTGATGACACCCCTATGTGGCTGTGCCCAGTGTTCTCTATGATCCAACAGGACTTTTCATACATTGCCTGTCTGTTGTAGACTCAAAAAAAAAAAAAAAAAAAAAAAAAAAAAAAAAAAAAAAAAAAGACAGCTCCAGAATGAACTAGGGGTTATTTTATTTTCTCTCTCTCTCTATCTCGCAGGCAAGGAAACTGAGGTTGAGGGTAGCAGGAGTCAGTGGAGATGCTGGACTTGAACCCAGGTCTCCAGGCCTGCTGTCCTCTCCCACTGCCCACATTTCCCTAGTCAAACTAGAGAGGACCCCCCAGCAGGGCTCTCTCTGCATGTTTTTCCTGGGATCCCATTATTGAAGCTTCCTCTTCTCCCTAGGCTGCCCTTGAACTCCCTATGGAGCCTAGAATGACCCTGAACTTCTGATCCTCCTGCCTCTAGAGGATTGAACCCACGGTTTCATGTATACTAAACAAGCCCTTTACCTGAGTCACATCCCTAACCCCCAATTCCATTAGTGTCCAGGGACCTCACATGGCCCAGCATCATATGCCAACCTCAGCTGAGTGTCCTTTTCATCCTGGGACTGCGGGGAGACAGGCCACAGTTACCCTCCTGGTTCCTTGGTCAGGGATTGGGAGCTCCCAGGATACGGTCTTCACCTAGGTCAGCGGTTTTGGATCTCAGAGAAGGCTGGGGCTCCAACTTTTAGATTTCTTTCCAGTGGCAGTGCTCACCAGTTTGGTAGACACCACCATAGTCAAACACCAGTGCTTGTCAGGGGACAAAAGTGCTCCTTTGTGTGACACCAACTAGTGATCCTGCTCCAGCTGGTGCCGTGAAAAGAAATTCTCTGATGCTTAGATACGGTCAGCACCTAGGTAAGGCAGAATCAGCACCTAGCTAAGGTGGAATCAGTACTTTTGAAGCAGTGCATCTTAGACAAGCTCTTTGCCCTCTGTACCTCAGTTTTCTCATCTGTGAAATGGGAATAACGATGGTAGCCTCGCCATGAAGTTGAAAAATGGTCCTGTCTATGATACAGTCAGGACAGTATGAGGAAGAGAGCAGGTGTTAACTACATGTTTCTGTACACACGGCACACATTATTGCTGTCACATGTCCGAGCTGAATGTGTCTCTGATGTTGGACAGATCAGGGCTCGTGGCCTTGACTTTTCCCACTTAGGGAAGTTGACTAGCCTACCATTCAGGGTTCGGGGCACACTCAGCTATTCTGGCAGCCTCAGAAGGGATCTCCCAGCCCTCCACCCTGGGTACCTTCAGGTTCACGGTCATCCAGGATTCTGCTTCTGTGCTGAGGGTCAGATCCTCTCTGTCCCCTGTTGTAGCTCACACTGACCGCCCAATCAGGAGAAACAGGGCAACTAGGGGCAGCATGGTGAGCCAGCGCTGCTCTGTCCAGGGAGTACAGGAGCCCCTCTCAGCCTGATGCCTCCTCCTTCAGCAATCCCCACTGGGCCGCTCCAGTGTGGGTGGGAAATCCTCCCTTGTTCTCTAGGCCTTCCAGCTCCTCTGCTTCCTTCCTGTGACTAATCCCATCTTTGGGCCACTTCACTAACAGCTCTCTCCCTGGCTGATTGAGCCAACACCATCAAGATCCCAGACCTCCCCATAGCCACCCCCAAACATTTGATCCCCAGGCTTAACACTGATGCAATACCAGCCTTACCGTTGGCTGAGTTCCCTCCTGCGACAGGTGCACAATGGCACAGTACGTGGGGCCTGGAGATTACGGTTTGTCAGGGACAAGCCCCAGGGGCCCAGGGGCGTATCTCTATTGTTGGGAATGGAAAGAGAGTGTATGGTGCCAGGATGTCACTGCCACCAACCACTTCCACCCCATCTCTTCTCCCTCTGCACTCTCCCCACCCACAGCCCCCATGTGTGCTCAGAACACTCCACTTGCCCTGGGAGGTGCCAGACGTTAAAGAAGCAAGGCTGCTTGCAAGTGGGAACTGAGATTTGCCAGAAAATGACACCAAATGTCAGCTAATGAGCCTCTGGTTTCTCACTACTGCCAAAATGACCTTCTAACTGCACCATGCCTGTCCCCTCTGCTTGTAGCCCCTGTGTGCCTCCCTGTCGCTTTTCTTTCCACAAGCTCCAAGCTTCTGAATATGCTCAGTCCCTCTCTGTTAAGCTCCTCGCTCTGCTTGGCCATCCACCCACCCATCCGTCTGTCCGTCCGTCCGTCCGTCCATCCATCCACATCCATCCATCCATCCATCCATCATTCTGTCATCTCTCAGTCTAGAACAAGGGCCCTGTGGTCAGAGACCTGGGATCCACTTTAGCATCTTTGCTGAAGAGCTTTGTGACCCCTGGCTATTATGTAACCCCTCCAAACCTTAGGACTCTCCTGGGTAACACTAGGCTGCGGATAAATGAGATAATGCATGTGGAGCATTCAGCGCAGTGTGGAATGGTCAATATTTGATGTCTGTTAACTACTGTTATTGTTGCTTTTCCTTAAGATAAGAATTTCTCTGTGTAGCCCTGGCTGTCCTCGAACTCTCTCTGTAGACTGGCTGGTCTTGAAATCAGAGATCCACCTGCCTCTGCCTCCCGAGTGCTGCGATTTAAGGCATGTGCCACCATGCGTGGCTATTATTATTACTATTATTGAGACTGGATGGGAAGATGATGAAGACACTGTGCCTGACCACATCACTTATCTTTTACTCAGCATTCCCATGGGCAAGACTCCCAATATCTCCACCCTCTGGTTTTGGTCTTTCCATCATCTTCCTTAACAAATTCTTCCTCACAGGTACCACTTTCCCCCTCTTCCTTTTACAGACGTGGAAGCAGGCAGGTCAGGCTTGATCTAAAGGAGAACCCGGGATTCCAGTGCCATTAGGGCTTGCAGGTTGGCCTGGAAATCCCAGCACAGGTCTTTGGATGTGCGAGGTGGCCTTCCCACTGCAGGCACAGACAGATTGACCTTAGCCCGTGACGAGTTTCTGAGCCTCACTTTCCCCGTCTACAAACCTCCTAGGGTGGGGCAAGTAGTTCATGAATGAGTGGGTAAAGTGCTCGCAGGCACAGAGGAAGCCCGGGCCTCAGCACTGGTCTTGAGGCTCCCCACCTAGCTGGCGTAGGAACCACCATGCCTGGGGCAGGATGTGGTGGGCGCACTGTGTGGACAAGGCGGGAGGCATCGGGCAGATGAGAGGGCTGAGAGAAGAGAGAGAAAACCCCAAAGGTCCGGAAGGCAGAGAGGGAGGCAGGGCACCAGCTGGAAACCGCGACTATTTGCAGCGTCGCTCTAGGTTTGCGGTCAGGCTGGGCTGGAAGGCCCGGCGACCGGGTTCGCAGCCCCTCCCGGTGTCCTCGGCCACCCGGGTGAGGCCGTGGCCCATGAGTCTCCTTCGCTGCAATGTTGAGTCCCGGGAGGCGGCTAGGCTGGGGCGCCGAAACCAGGAGCAGAACAAGGCCACCGGAGGAGAAACGCACGCGGGTACGGCAGACTAGGGAAAACGCTGTGTGGGCGGGGCCCCGGCCGGTTGGGGTGGGCGGGGCCCCGGCCGGTTGGGACTCCCTACCACCCACAGAGGTCCGCACGCTCGGACGGGCAGCGCCCTCCACCGGCCGAGCTAGGCAGCGCCCAGGACCGGACGAGCTGGCCAGCGCCCCCTATCGGTTGAGTTCGGCAGCAGCAATCACCGACCGATGCGGGCAAGTTCAGGACCAGAGCAACCGCGTGTGGGCGGCCCGGTCCGGGGCGGCGCTGTGGCCGCGGGGCGGGTCGCGGCAGCGGTGAGGCTCGCTGGGCGCCGGGTGGGCGCGAAGGATTGCTAAAGGCTGCGGTTTGGCCAGGATTGCGGAGCCGAGAAGAAAAAGATGCAACCGAGGAGGGAGAAAAAAAAAAAAAAAAGAGGAAGAAAAGGGAAACACTAGATCCCGCGGGCGAGCTGCGGGCAGGAAGCCGACGCTTCCAAGCGCCCACTCGGCCAGAGGAGGGGGGGTCGCGGGCCCGTTGCACAGGCTGGCTCCAGGAGGCCAGGCGCCATGGGTGGCAGAGTCGGGATTCGAACCTGGATCTGCATTCAATTATAACGTTCACCTCCTGGACCAAGGAATCGGAATGGAGGATGGAGGGGTTGGGGACTCTGGTGAGAGGTCTCGGCTGCGGAGAAGGCGTGCTGTTTGGGAACTATCCGGGGACGCCACCGGACCCTGCTTCTGTCCTTCCTACGCCCTTCTAGCGCCTCCGCGTGGACGCTTCCGACCGATTCACGGCCTCTCCTAGAGTGCAGGCGAGTCAGGAGCTGCGTGCTGGCCTCTAATGACCTGTCCTTTACATAGAGAGACAAGGGGTTTCCTCCGTTGGCGGGGAGGAAAGTGGCTCAGGTCATCTCGGAGTTCAGACCTGGGGAACATCAAATATAAACCCTGTGCTTGTACCCCTCCATTGCAACAGCTTGGACCCACCTCTCTCTCTCACTCTGTTACCTTACTGCTCCCCTTCGTTGACGATGGATTCACTTGACATATCAAGGGCATCCGCAGACGAGCAGGCACACCGGCCAGAACATCTCCACACTGGGAGATGGAGCAGATGCCTGGCCCTTGAGCCCAGAATTGGGGTGGGCAGATATTTGCCCACACTTGGGGAATTTAACCCAAATCTCTCCTGCTCTTGGCATCTGTAGTTCTGTTAGACTGTCAGCCTCCACCTCCCCCCATCTCTGAAGGGTTCTAGAAAGTGCCTCATGTGTTGCCAAGTCTCCTGCTAGCAGATCAGAGTTTTGTTGTTGTTATTTTGTTTTTAGTTCTTTCAACCTTTTGTTTTATGTGTATGGGTGTTTTATCTCCATGTGTCTCTGTACTACATGTGTTCCCTGCCTGTGGAGGGCATTGTGAGCCACAGGGGGAATTCTGGAAATGGAGCCAGGATCCTTTGGAAGAACAATCAGCGTCTCTCCAGCCCCCAGATCAGAATTTTGAGAATGATCACAAGGGGACCCCTGTTCTCCACCACCCCTTTTACCAGCCCTTCCTTCACCGTCAAAGACACAGGCTCAAGGGTGCAGGAGCCTGGGGCCTTCTCTTGGCGCCTTTCTTTTTCTGTCAGCTTAGCAAGGCCTCCTCATGCGCATCCCTCTAAAGTGAGACACCATCAGGAATATGGAACACCGGCGTGGGGGAGTCAGGGTAGTGGGCTAAGGTTCAAATTATGGCCTGGTCACCTAACCATGGGTGGTGACCTTAGATACGATACTCAACTGTTTTGAACTTCCATTCCTGTGGCAGAAAGAGAGAGAGAGAGAGAGGTAGAGAGAGAGAGAGAGAGAGAGAGAGAGAGAGAGAGAGAGAGAGAGAGAACGACAAGGTTTTGCGGCTGCAGAGATAACACAAGAACTGTGCAGCATGTTTCGCTCGCTGTCAGCATATAATAAATGGCAGCAATTACCGCTGTTAATAATGCAATTAAACGACAACATCCATCTGCATTCCCTGGGAAAGCCCAGATTAAGGAAAGTTACCGGGGCATTCCCGAATGTTTCACCATCCCGTTGTTTCTTAAGGGTGGCGACTAGGTGCCTGCCATCAGACTGGGTCTCCCTGGGTGAAGTCAGCACCCTAGGTCTTAAAGGGTGGGCCCAGGGAGGCTGGTGGAGCCAGGTGTCAGGAGTTCTGGGTTCTAGCACTGCCCCCTGCCTCAAGGGGAACCGTGGAACCTCACTTCTCCATAGTGCTCATCTCTCCCGGTGGCTGCAAGCCTGAAACCCTCTCCTCTGACCCCATTAGTGAGGAGAGAGCCGCTCTGTTTAAAATCCGCCCTTTCCTGGAGGCCTGTCTGAGTGCTGGAGGGAGTGAACTACGAATTGAAAATGTCTGTAATGCATTGTCCCTGGTCTACCGAATGGAGCCTCCAGCTCCCGCCGTCTGCAGAACAGCCTGTTGCCCTCGACTAGAAAGACACTGGAGTGGAGACAGTGCCCTGGAGTGGGAGCCGGACTGATCTCAAGGGGACCTGGGGCTGTCCTTGCAAGACCCCTACCCGGACACCTAAGCCACCACAAGTGGGGGGCAGGCAGCTGGAGCTGAGGGGGCTCCCATGCCCTCCTAGGCCCTTCCTGGGTCTGCCCAACCCTTCTATGGTCTGAGGTGAACTTGGGATAGATGGGGAGAGCTGGGGGTTGGGAGAGAATCCCAAGCCGTATCTGGCCTGTTGTATGAGCACGTAGGGCCAGGACAGAAGTGGCCGTGGAAATGAAAGTCAGGATGCTCTCAGTTCCCTGGGCCTGCTAGGCCTGGGCTGGGACCTAGGCTCTTCCTCTCCTAGTGGGCCTGATCCCTGTTCCTGAAGTTCTGACCCTGCAGATGCAGACAGCCAAGGTTCAGTTCATATCCCATCTCTGCTCAGCCCTTAGAGACTTCAAAATTTCTTTTCTTTCTTTCTTTTTTGTTTCTGTTTTTTTTTAGATAGGATTTCTCCATGTAGCTTTGGTTCCTGTCCTGGAACTCGCTCTGTAGAACAGACTGGCCCCAAACTCACTGGCCTGCCTCTGCCTCCCGAGTACTGGGATGAAAGGCATGAGCCACCACTGCCCAGCGCAAAATTTCTTTTCTTATTTTTTTTAATTTTTATTTTTA